AACAAGCGATTGCAAAGACCATGGCCTGTATCAGGCAGACCTTAGTCTCCAGAGAGACACCGTTGCTCCTGAGTACTTTAGAGAGGTCCCTAACAGCTTGAGGCTGAGTAGGAGTTCTTAATAGTAAAAAGTGAGTAACTGTTGGCAGTGAAGAGTGAACTTGTGTGAAGATACGGAAGCAAAGAGAATGGAACATGCTCACTCAGGATGTGTGAAATTTTTAGTCACGGAACTATGAATTCTAAATTGACACCAAGCAGGTCCTTGATTAAACAGCAAAGTTTTAATAAAATGCATGGAACGAGTGGTAATAAAGTTAAATGTGTATGAAGCCTCCAGTCAGTGATCCATGGTAAGTATGACTGCAAGAGTCTGAAATAGTACCAAAATAAAAGTAAATAATAGAATGAAGGTTTGGGAGGTGGTTAAAAAAAATTCATCTCTGCCTGGTGTGTTCATCCACACAGTCTTGATAGAAATAGGTAATATATTTTTGTTCATAGGGTCGCTATGAGTTGCTTACGACTCAACAGCACTTAACAACAACAACAACAGCATAGAGAGATAGAGCAGTTGACCTAGTGGACAGAAAGCCATTCTCCCAAGCCAAAGGTGGGTGACTCTACTTCATGGCCCTCAGGCCTGCCTTTAATTGTTTTGCGTGAAACATTCTTCTAGGTTGTCTAACCCTGGAATGTCCACTTGCTGTACAGAGGTAACTCGTGGTTGCTGTGAAGCCGAACACTGTGACACTGATGAGTCAAATGCAAGAATGGTTACCCATCGTAGACAGTGTTTGGTGAAGCTCCCCGATTAAAACAAGCTTGGAAGCAGGAGTGACATCCACTTCCATAATAGCTTGTCTCTGGAAACCCTATGAACCTGGAGGAAGGACAAAAGTTATCCAGGTGTCCAGGACTTTCGTTCATAGGGTCACTAAAGGTTGCCTACGACTTGACGGCACTTAACATCTAAAAGAAGAAGTGTTTGTACAATTACATTTTTCTAGCAATATAATTTTTTAAAGGGCTGTATGTTTATCTGTTATTTCTATTCTTTGTTATTGTTATGTATGTTTGAGTCAGAACCAATTCATAGCTGATTCTCCGGAGGTTTCAGAGGCAGTAAGGCACACAGGCCCATCTTTCTCCCTCAGAGGAACTGCTGGTGGATTCAAACTGGGTGCCTGTGAGTTGGCAGGCAATTCTTTACCAGCAGACTGGAAGCAGGAGTGGCATCCACTTCCTAAATGACATGCCTCTGGAAACTCTATGAACTTTGATAAATTACAATAGTTATGGAAAGGCTTCGGGCCTTTTGTTCATAGGGTTGTTATGAGTGGTGCTCGATTTGACGGCAATCAACAACAACAACAAACCAACAGAGCTCCTCCGTATTTCTCAGATAAGGGTATATTTTTAAAATCTAAGTTTTCAGGTACGGAGAAAGGAGTTAACTTATCCAAAGTCCAACAGCTAAGTCACATACCTGGCTGCCTGACCCAGGAGGCTGAGGTCTCCCAGCCCACCCACCTGTCTTCTCCAGCCTTTCAAGGGCCCCAATTCCTAGTCCCAGGCAGCTCCTGAGAACGAGCACACCTGCTCTAGGATGGAGCCTGGGGTGGTCTCTCCGTCTAAACTTCAAATAGGAAAAGCAGTCTGGGGGACGAGGCCGCTTCAAATGCTTTGTGCTTCTTTTCTCTTTCCAAAAGCTCCATCTCCCTCTAAGCCAACCAGCCAGTTGCTGCCCATTCTAGTTCATGTGTCGAGGAGTAGAACTGTGCTCCACAGGCTGTTGGCTTAGTGGTAAGGAGTGGTGCTTTTAACCCAAAGGTATATGGGGTTCGAATCCACCAGTTGCTCCACAAAAGAAAGAAGTAATCTCCTCCCGTGCAATTTACTGTCTCTGAAAACCTGCTGGAGGATCAGCTTTGAGTCAGTTTCAACCGGATGGGACCAATCAACAATAATAACAGTTCATCAGAAATAGAATGTGTCTGGGTAGATTAGAACTTCTAACCATTTACACCACCCAGGGACTCCAAATTTTTCTTTTAAAACTACTTATTGCCCACTGCAATCCCAGAGGTATGCGGTTTAAATCCACCAGATGCTCTGCTGGAGAAGGAGGGGCAATCTCCTCCTGTACCAGTCAGATCTGATTTGATGGTACACACACACAAAATAATAAAATTTTTAAAAAAACACCAAACAAACAAATAAGCAACCCCTACTTATTGCCTGAGTAATATGCACAATATTTGTGAAGTGGAGTTAAATAGTGTAAACACGGTTATAATCCCATGAAACCTTAGCAAAGGTAGGCGAGCACAGTGGTTAGGCCCTGAGGCTTCAGCAGTGGGTCTCTGAGAGTCCTTACTAGCTGCTTGTCACTAGGCAAGTGGCTGAACTTCCCTAAGACCTTAGTTCCAGGGAGCTCTGGTGGCCTTGTGGCAAGAAGCTGCACTACAATCCCAAAGGTTCATGGTTCAAATCCACCAGATGCTCTGCTGGAAAAGGAGGGGCAATCTCCTCCTGTGCCAGTTGGAGCCTATTCGATGGCAAACAACAACAACAAAACCAAAACCCTCCCACCCCCCGAACAACACATTGGTTCCTAGCTGTAGAATGGGGCTCATAAGAGTACCTGACTCATACAAAATTAAGTAAATATTAGAATGAAGGTTTTGGAGGTGGTTAAAAAAATCCATCTCTGCCTGGTGTGTTCATTCACACGGTCTTGATAAAAATAGGTAATATATTTTCTATCTAAAAGTAGAAGAGTTAGTACAGTTCCATTTTTCTAGTCCTATAATTTTTTAAAAGGCAGTATTTACTCAAAAGAGTAAATGAGAAGTTGGACAACCTCTGTTTACTGTGTGCGTGAGTGTGCGTGCGTGAGTGCGTGAGTGTGTGTGTGTGTGTGTATATGTGTGTGTGTGTGTGTGTGTGTGTGTGTAGACATGCAGACAAAGAAGGCCGTAGACTGAAATTGCAATCACTGGTCAGGGTGTGCAGAGCTCGGCACACTGCCCTGGGAGCAGCATTAGGCCCGCTGCCTCCCCGGCCATCTCAGCAGGGGTCTGGTGGTTCTGGCATGAGATTGAGCTGTATCCTTCCTAGGAGTCGAGTTGATGACACCCTCCTGCCCACGAGAATTTATTCCCCTTGAGCCCCGGGTGCAGTCACTCTCACATAATGACCACTCTCTAATGCCTGAATGGCAGGCGGCTTTACAGGCTCCCTCCATCACCTCGGATAATATGCTTCAGTGGATGCCAACAATAAATTGCAGCTCATTGAGACGTGGAATTGAGAAGCTGCTGGCAAGTCAGTCCACCCAGGGAGTG